AAAAGTTTAAAAAAATTATTTTTTACTTGAGATGTCATCAGAAGCATGGGGCATGGCCGAACAATGGAGGTCACTGCCTCAAAGTTTGAGTGGACAAAGTTCAAAGATCAATTGGTTTATTATATTCATTATTATTAATTACATTGTTTAATATTATTTATACTAATCGTCATTAACATGATTTATGTTTGATATAGCAATTTATTTAAATTAATTTTAAGATTTGTATTACAGAGTAAATTCACTTTCACTCATATATTGTTGAAATTAACTTTTAGCACTTTTACTTAATGCTTGGACTCGTTCCTATTGGCCTGATCATTGGTGGAACTAATCTAATCTATGGTTAGTGTCATGAATTTGGAATCAGAGATGTGCATTATGTTGTTTGTGGTAAGCGGGGCCTGGGAATTATGATTTGGAGGATGTGAATTATGAATTAGTTGTCTATAATTATGAATTGAATGTTATGTGACAGGAAACTTTAATGTTCAATTGTTCACAACCCATTAGCATGTATAATAACTTTATTCCTATCACTCATTTATTTATTCATTCAGTTATTTTTTCTTTCATTCATCCATTCATAATTATTCATAATTTTTATATAATATTTATTTATATAATTATTTTATTATAGGCCCGGCTGAGTTGAAGGATATTCCAGATGGTTATGAGCCAAAACATTGGGAGTATTATAAGGTCATAATTGAATGAATGATTGAATGAATGAAGGAGTGAATGAATGAAAGAATGAATGAATGAATGGACAAATAAATGAGTAAATGTTTAAATGGCTGTAAGAATGAAAGGTCAATTGAACGTTTTTTCAATGTGGAGTGATATTGATAATAATTTCAAGAAAATTTATTTTGGACATGAATTGTGAATTGTGAGTTGTAGATGTGTGAATTATGAATTATGGATGTTAGTTTATTATAAATAAAGGACTGGAGTTATGTATAATGTCATAATCTGCTCTTTTTTCGTCATAGTTATATTAACCTTACTTTTTCAATTCTTGATTTATTTATTCATTTGTTCGTCCATCATTCGTTTATTCATTCATTCATTCGTTTATTTATTCATTCGTTCATTCATTCATTTATTCATTCACTCACAGCATCCAATTTCTCAGTTCATCGCTCGCTATCTCCTCGATTCTCCTGAAAAAAGGTACGAGAGGCATCTTCATTTTGTCTCGAAAGAACAAGATAAATGGATCATGAAGTAATTAGGGATTAGGGAATGAGATGACGAGGAAGATGATGAGAATGATGATGAAGTGGTGATGATGATGATATAGAGCCAATCAAATTCAACCTGTCAACCAATCAGTCACTGAATCAGTTCAATCAATCTATCAGACCAGATTCAAATCACTCAACCAGCCAGTTCAGTCAATCCAACCGACCAACCAATTTATCCAACTAATCAATCAATCAACCAATCAATCAACCCATTTAATCGATCATTCCATGAACTCAACCAATCAGAAAACTTGAGAAAAAAGTGACCGAATTGACTGAATCACCATCGTTAACGGCTTACAGATATTATTATTATGTACCCAAGCCTGATAAATACGTTAAGGTATGTGTATGTGTCCATCTAAGTGTGTATGTTTGCGTGTGTGTGTTTGTATGTATGTGTATGTTTCCACATGTGTGTTTGTGTGTGTCTGTGTCCGGTGTGTGTGTGCTTGTGTGGTAAGCATTGTAGATTACTTAACATTTTAATTAGTTTTTATTTTATGGTATTTCAATTTATATCGCGTTTTTCCTGGAATTAAAAGCTTTTTTATTCATTCATTCAATCATTCGTTCGTTCGTTCTTTCATTCGTTCATTCATTCATTCATTCCGCCAGATTGCTAAGGAGGGTGAAGAAGATGCAGAGAGGACGAAAGGAATGTAGATGACGATAATGATGATGAGGATGGTGATGATGATGATGATGAGAGTGGTGATGATGATGGTGATACTAATATTAATAATTCTTTGGCAATGTAACGCTGGTTTGATACTTTCGTTGAAAATGAAGTTTTAAAAGTAAAATTGGCTGTCGCAAAAAATTTTATTCTTTGTAGAAACAAACATAGAAAAATGAGTAGAAATATATTCAATATGAATGTTTAAAAAGTTTAAGATGTATAAAATAAATAATTCTAAGTTCTAGGCACCGGTTAAATATCCTAATGATATGTTACTTTGTGATATATAGATATATGTTAATGATAGGTAGATATATATCAATTATGTATAGAAACATAGAAATAAAGGCGAATGATATGTAGATATATATATATTTTTACAATATTCTATAAATTCTACCGAATGTTTGGCGTTAATATGTTTGTTGTTGCATTTGTTGTAGTTCGTTTTTTCAATTTTTCTCACCAAAAACTTTAGTTAGAAAAATTGAAAAAATGATTCATTCGGAATCGAAATATGGCCTTATTTGCAGCATGGATTCGGAAAATAAGTTTATTTTGAATTTTAATAAACTAAACGTTCACCAATAAACTTTAGTGAGAAAAATCGAAAAAACGAACTACAAACATATTAATGCCAAACATTCGGTAGAATTTGTAGAATATTGTGAAAATTATAGTCTATTACCAACATATATATAGTTCGTTTTTTCAATTTTTCTCACCAAAAAACTTTAGTGAGAAAAATCGAAAAAACGAACTACAAACATATTAACGCCAAACATTCGGTAGAATTTGTAGAATATTGTAAATTTGTAAATATATATAAATATATATATATATACTTTGGTGGTATGTAAATAAATGTATGTAAAGGGCATATAGATTCATGAAGATATATGTGACCCTTCTTTCAACATAAAGATACGTATATATATATATATATATATATATATATATATATATATATATGTAGAGAGGATTGCACATATAGGCACTTGATATATAGATACAAGTAAACCGTATGTAGAGCACATAGAGCAAATAGTATATAGATACGGACACGCAAATATAAATATAAGCTAAATGCTAATGAAAATATTACTACATGCAATTGATACATCTAATATATGCAAATAAGAATGCCAATGATAAGATCAGTACATCGGAATAAGTTTAATATATGCAAATGAGGCATTAATTATGCAGATAAAAATGTCTGGATGTATACTAATGATATTAATTAGATGCTAAATTATGCCAGTGAGATGAACGCCTGTGATGATATAAGGATGCTCTTGGATAAATAAAACAAAACCTATTTTTAAAAAACTAACAACTAGCAAGAAATGGAATAATATAAATACTTTCTCAGTAAGTGAACTGGTATCAGCATCATTACTAATAGCTCGTTATGAATATCCATTAATAATCATAGGTGAATAAGTGAAGGAGATTGATGTTGGATTTGAAGTTGTAGAAGACGTTCATAGCGCGTTTGCAGGTTTCAGCGGTGCTCAACTCACCGTCTACTTCGTTTATAGGGAAGAAATTAATTGTTCCCTATTAAAAAATACGATTAATAAATTATTTGGTGGAAGAGATGATAGTGCAAAATTAGTTAATTAATAATTATTTTAATTATCTAATTAACAAACTACCTCGAAATTGTGGCCGACATTCAATTTTAATCTCGGCTTTATAAACTTTCTGGCGAATTGTAATCTATCCAGTATCAGTTCCACCTGTTCATTTAGGTCTGACATGCAGAGTTCTACGTTCCTGGCCGATTTTAGGTCGATCAGTGAGTCGTGTAGTATTTTTAATCTTTGGTTAACGTCCTAAAATTAGGGAAAATCAATTTTCCGAGGTTAATTAGTTGGTAGAATGAGTTTCTTTACAATGATTCAGTGATGTCGTTAATTAATTTTTGGATAAATTCATGATATTAATCACTAAACAGGCTAATTTCTTGAAATTTATCGATTGGAATCTAATGTTGTAGGTGATGAAGTGTATGAAATAGGACAAGAATTATGAAATTTTGACAATTTTGGAATAAATTTTGAAAATAAAAATTGGTTGGATGGTTGATTGAATGATTGGTTGATTGAATAACTTGGTAAAATAGTAAAAAAATGATTTTGAACTACTAACGAGGCATTTCAACTCTCTTCTCTTTCTACTACTATTCAGCAAAACTCTGTTTGAAAGTTCTTGGTTATCCGTATCAGGAATCTGGGAATTTGGAAATAAAATTTGTATCAAGGTGTGTGCCTTTGTATCAGGCTTAGTATCATATCTTCTATAGTATCATATCTTCCATAGTATGTACACACACACATACACACACACACATATATTCATTTAACGAATTCTATTCTACATAAAAATGTATCATCTTTCAAGTGTATCGATTTTAAAAAATAAATTCATTCAAAAACTCAAAAACGTCACACTGTTTTCACTAACTTCACACTAATTTTAAAAAAACTTCACACTAATTTACACAAACTTCACTAACGTAAAATCGGTCAAGAATCGCCTGGGTCCTTCTCATCATCTCATCCAAATTTTCTAAAAATATTTTTCCGGCGAAATCGCCTCCTTCAATTTTCAGTTTCGTTTCGCAATGGGCCTTAGTCGCTAATTAATTAAGAATTAATTGTATCATCATTATTATTAATATTAATTAATTAATTATTACTATTGTTATTATTAATTATTTCTATTAATTATTATGATTAATAATTTAGAAACCTTGTCTTTTTTTGTGAAATTTTTTGCAGAAGCTCAATACCGCCGAAAGCAGAACAATGAAAATGAAAGCTGAGGAGAAAATTATTTTTATTATTATTATTATTATTGTTGCTGTTGTTGTTATTATTTTTATTATTATTGTTGTTGTTGTTATTGTTGTTGCTATTATTATTATTGTTGTTGATACGATTGATCGTTTGAAAATATAACAATGGGATTAACACTAGATACTTTGTTTTAGTAGTAGTAGTAGTAGTAGTAGTAGTAGTAGTAGTAGTAGTAGTAGTAGTAGTAGCAGTAGTAGTAGTAGTAGAAGTAGTTGTAGTAGCAGTAGTAGTAGTAGTAATAGTAGTAGTAGTAGTAGTAGTAGTAGTAGTAGTAGTAGTAGTGAAGTTAGCAGCAGTAGTAGTAGTAGTAGTAGCAGTAGTAGTAGCAGCAGTAGCAGTAGTAGTAGTAGTAATAGTAGTTGTAGTAGCAGTAGTAGTAGTAGTAGTAGTAGTAGTAGTAGTAGTAGTGAAGCCAGCAGCAGTAGCAGTAGTAGTAGTAGTAGTAGTAGCAGCAGTAGTAGTAGGAGTTGTATAACGTTACGGGTGTTAATGAAATTTTATCATATTTACTCATTTATTTACTCATTCATTTATTCACTCATCACTTCTGTAATCCATCATTCTTTCGCTTTCATTCTTTTGTCTACCGATCATTCAGTCATTCATTTGTTTGTTAGTTCTTTCATTCATTCAATCATTCATTCATTCGTTCATTGGTTCATTTCATTTTTCAATGCATACATTCTTTATTTTGTTTCTTGTTCATTTATTCGTTCGATGTTCACACATTCATCCAATCATTCATTCATATGTTCGTTCATGCATGCATTGATTCTTGCAAGTTAATTAATTAATTGATTAATTAATTGATTAATTAATTCATTCATTCATTCATTCATACATTCATTGGCCCATCAAAAAATCTAACTCTTAAAATTCATTTTAGAGAAAATTTTGCAGAAAAAAAACCGAAAAATTGAAAACGCAATTTTAGGTTAAGAAAAAAAAAAAAAAATTAACAAATAATAATTATAATAATAATTAAAAACAAATAATAATTATAAATAACAATTAATAAGTATAAATGATAATTAATAACTATAAATAATAATTAATAATTATGAATAATAATTATTAATAATAATTACAAGCAGATATAATTTTTCTAGGTTCAGCGAAGTTTATATAGTCTCAAAGTATATCCAGGAAAGTCATATAAGTTTCATATTGAAGGGTTCCATCTAGGTTGCTAAGAAAATATTCCCCGAAAAGTTTCTAGCTCAAGTTAAGTTGCTATTGTTGGCGGCGAAGTTGTAGGCGTAGTAGTAGTAGTAGTAGTAGTAGTAGTATTAGTTGTTGTTGTTGTAATAGTAGTAGTAGTATTAGTTGTAGTGGTAGTAGAGTAGTAGTGGTGGTTGTTGTTGTTGTAGTAATAGTAGTAGTAGCAGTAGTAGCAGTAGTAGTAGTAGTAGTAGTAGTAGTAGTTGTTGTTGTTGTAGTAGTAATAGTAGTAGTAGCAGTAGTAGTAGTAATAGTAGTAGTAGTAGTAGCAGTAGTAGCAGTAGTAGTAGTACATGCTATGAATAATAGGATTATGAACATAAATCTTTTGCCTATTATGTTAGTTCATTTATAGATGGTTTTTTATTATTGTTTTTAATGTTATTATTTATTATTATTATTATTATG